ATATATATATTATATATATATATACATACACACACATATACACACACACACACACATTTTTTTTTTTCCCCTCAACAAAACAGACTTGCCAAATAGTTAACTGGCGTATTCTTAAAAGGGGCACACAAGGCACCATAACCACTAAAACTCATTGTAGTGTTCGCTAAGCAAGGAGTCTTTAGGCACCAACTACCCGGTTTGTGAGTAGTTTGGCAAAAATACATTTGAACACCAGCCAATCTGTTCCAGTTTTGAAAATGCAGAACTTCAATATGTCCAACCTTGGTCTGTAATGATGGGCTAAGAGTGTTAAAGGTGGATTAGACCAGACCCCCCAGCCTATCATTGCCACCCAAAGCTGGGCAACTACTTTGCAACTTCCCTTCTGTGGCACACAAGGGGCAGAGCTGTAGGTGCCAAGAGTACCCCAGCTTTTGCCATTTCAATTGAAAAAGATTCAACACTAGTAAGGTAGACAATGCACAAAGACTCTTGGCACCATAATAACTACAGCTCTTCGCAGAGGTGCAACATAAAACGGCTGTCAGTATATCTTACATTAAGAGTTCCACCAATCTCCTGCAAACTCCTGCATCAATGACAGCCTGGATCTTATCATTTGGTCCATCGGACAGGTATGAGAGAGCCCAACAGGCATCAGCCAGGACATCCGTGTCATTAACAAACAGCAGCCAGGACAGGACAGTAAGACATGGCGAGACCTGCAGGACACAGCAAACAATGAGACTTACGATGCACGTAACTGGCATTTTATAGATTTTACTGCCTCACTGCAAGCAAAGGAATTATTCAGTCTTGTGTCTGAACTACTTCTCACTCAGGTCAACCTAACTAAAACACCTACTCCCATCATTTCCTGCTCAGTGTTTCATGTAGCTTTATAGAGTGCAATAACTAATCTACATAAAGCTAAGTGAAGAAAGCAGTTCTACAAGAAATGTTACCTGGAATGATGACAAAATATGGCAGAAACCAAATGTGACTAGTGGCAATCTCTGATCAATGAATGCAACATTTCTATTGAAGATTGACTTTCCCAGAACAGAGCAGTTACTATAGTTATAAATGGTATTTTGCAATGCAGAAAAAGTTGCTAAACATCCTCTGTAATAAAATGGTACTACAAAACATTCCACACAACTTGAACACTGCAAGCAGCATACTGAGCCCACACAGAGATAATCAAGGTGTTAATATGGCCTTTTTGGCGGGCGAGTAATTAGGCTCTACACAACGCTGCAAACAGCAGAATACAACCCGAGAATGTTTGATGCATAACTTGTACATGTTGTACTGCCAATTTGTGTAAACTATGTCACTGTTGAAAAGACAAAAAGAGGTACGTTTAAACCCCTCTCCCCCTTTCTTTTCTGTATCTCCTATTTGACGTTTGATCGCAGACAAAATAAAAATTGTCATATTGAAAAAAAAAAACCCCAAAAAACATCCTCTGCAGTGGGGTCCCAAGGCCCAGCTTATTGCAGATTTTACACCAATTCTAGCTATCTCCCACTCAATTTCTATTTAACTGCCTAGATTTCTGTCCCTCCGCTCCAGTTTGTCCTCAAAGGGCGACATGACTGCAGTCTTGAACACGAAAGAGCAGCACAGCAGCTGCAAGGACAACTGCCAATTTTGTTTAGATAACAAATCTGCTTGTACCAAGTTTTGATGACATTTAACATTTAAGGATCTTTAAAGGAAGCACCAACTCACGTTAAGCATGTCAGGTGTGCTTTAATAAACACATTTCGACTTTTTGAGGTTAAAGGTAAGTTTTTTGTGGAAATATAAAGCTTCAACTTAACCAGCACAATTTTAGATTGCAAATGTTACCTTGGCAAATTCTGGAGGAGGGTTTTTGCCCCGGCAAAGATTGGACAAGGCCCAAACAGCATTTCGAGTCATTGTTAGACGGTTCTGCTTGGAAAGTAATCTGAAAACAAAATAATAAAAAAACAAAACAAACAAATAAATGGAAATATAAAACATAAGAGAGAGTGTAGTGTCTCCTCTGTGCAGAACACCTCATCCAGCAATACAATGCTTCAATAAAACTTTATTTAAAATAAAAAATACATGAGAAACAGATATCAAAGAAGTATGGCATTTAAAAGGGCCTTAAAACATTAAGACAAGATGTTTTGACAGATGAACTAAACAGTGTGAAAAATAACTGGGACTTCTCAAATACAAAACTGAAAATGTATTCAAAACCAGAGTGTGGCATTTAAGGTACAAAATAAAACAAACGATATACGGTACCACCAAAACTGGTTTTAATACCGTCAAGGTAATCACAGCGTGATATTGGATGAAAGAGCGGAATAATCTTTCAGTTTTGTATCAATTGAAGATCTTTGCTGTAATCACCATGTAGTGTAGCATCACATGCAGAGGACACACTGAAGGGAATATGTCCAGTTACACAATGAATTAGATAATAAGGCCCATGTACTCACTGTAACAGAGGAGGCAGAATGTTACAATCTAGCACGTAATCTCTGCACACGGTGCTGTCTCCAGCAATGTTTCCCAGAGCCCATACTGCCTGTCAGGAGGAAAGAAATCACCATTTACTCACTGAACAGCCCCAAAAGCAGAAACACAAGGAGGCTGAATTTCTTTATTTTTGGATCTCAACAGAATATGCGGGAAATGGGACAACCATTTTATACAGCGTATTCATTAGATGCAGATTTAACAGACCTTTACTAAACCACAGCATATTGTAACGGTCTATCACTGTAACAGACTTTTACTAAACCACTGCCTATTCTAATGGTCTATAACTGTAACAGGCCTTTACTAAACCACAGCCTATTCCACTGGCCTATCACTGTAATAGACCTTTACTAAACCACAGCCTATTCCAACGGTCTATAACTGTAACAGGACTTTACTAAACCACTGCCTATTCTAACGGTCTGTCACTGTAACAGACCTTCACTAAACCACAGCCTATTCCAACTGTAACAGGCCTTTACTAAACCACAGCCTATTCTAATGGTCTGAGACGGTAACAGGCCTTTACTAAACCACAGCCTATTCTAATGGTCTGTCACGGTAACAGGCCTTTACTAAACCACAGCCTATTCTAATGGTCTGTCACGGTAACAGGCCTTTACTAAACCACAGCCTATTCCAACGGTCTATCACTGTAACAGACTTTTACTAAACCACAGCCTATTCTAACAGTCTAACTGTAATAGGCCTTTACTAAACCACAGCCTATTCTACTGGTCTGAGACGGTAACAGGCCTTTACTAAACCACAGCCTATTCCAACGGTCTATCAGTGTAATAGACCTTTACTAAACCACAGCCTATTCTAATGGTCTATAACTGTAACAGGCCTTTACTAAACCACAACCTATTCTAATGGTCTGTCACTAACAGGCCTTTACTAAACCACAACCTATTCTAATGGTCTGTCACGGTAACAGGCCTTTACTAAACCACAGCCTATTCTAATGGTCTGTCACGGTAACAGGCCTTTACTAAACCACAGCCTATTCTAATGGTCTGTCACGGTAACAGGCCTTTACTAAACCACAGCCTATTCTAACGGTCTATCACTGTAATAGACTTTTACTAAACCACAGCCTATTCCAACGGTCTATCACTGTAACAGACTTTTACTAAACCACAGCCTATTCTAACAGTCTAACTGTAATAGGCCTTTACTAAACCACTGCCTATTCTAACGGTCTGTCACTGTAACAGACCTTCACTAAACCACAGCCTATTCCAACTGTAACAGGCCTTTACTAAACCACAACCTATTCTAATGGTCTGTCACTGTAACAGGCCTTTACTAAACCACAACCTATTCTAATGGTCTGTCACTGTAACAGGCCTTTACTAAACCACAACCTATTCTAATGGTCTGTCACTGTAACAGGCCTTTACTAAACCACTGCCTATTCCAACGGTCTGTCACTGTAACAGGCCTTTACTAAACCACAGCCTATTCTACGGGTCTGAGACGGTAACAGGCCTTTACTAAACCACAGCCTATTCCAACGGTCTATCAGTGTAATAGACCTTTACTAAACCACAGCCTATTCTAATGGTCTATAACTGTAACAGGCCTTTACTAAACCACAACCTATTCTAATGGTCTATAACTGTAACAGGCCTATCCCATTCTGAAGAAGCCACTTATGGTGAAACGCGTTTATGGTTATTAATTCTGTATTTTACTGTGTATTTTAGATCAATAAAAGTTTTTTGGCTACTTTATTGTACCAATCCTCTTTTTATTGCACTCTTTATGCACTTTAAACAACTTTTGTTTTTACCTATTCCTGGCATTTTAACCTTTCCTGGTTACTTTTACTTCCATTGGCAATTTTAAAGTTCCAGTACTCCAAGAAATCCTAGGTGGGGATCATACCACCGGCGCCTATCCATAGAGCAGTACCTCTGCTCTATCTTTGTGAGTATTATTTTATTTTCTCTACTACTCTCTTAACCTATCACAATTGAGAGCACTATTGCTGCTTTTTATTCTTCTATATTGGAGCCTTGGATCACCAGACGGTGCTGACGGACGTATCGCCGCTACATATCCTATAAGCGGGGATTATACCGCTGTACGCTATCCACACCAGAGCTGGCCATAGCTCCCTCAAATGTGAGTTTTTTACCTCCTCTTATCTGCACATTGAACCACATCAAAATTGAGAGCACTATTGTTGCTTTCTGTCTTTCTTTTTCGAGCTCTGGACTACCAGACGGTGCTGACGGAGACCCCTCCCTACATATCCCATAAGCGGGGATTATACCGCTGTACGCAATCCACACCAGAGCTGGCCATAGCTCTCCTGAATGTGAGTTCTTTACTTTTTGTTACCTATCACACCCTGAACTTTCATACTATACCATTAGTCGCCTCTACCTCTCTTGTATTTACATATACGGAACGGTCTACACCAGACGCATCCACAGAGGAACTCTATCAAGTATCCTAGACCATCTATTGGCACCCTAGTAATACTTTACTGGACTATCTACCCTTATTTGGCGCAGCCCTTCCATATCTTTTTGTATCTTTACTACACCGCTACCTATTCCAACTATAACAGGCCTTTACTAAACCACTGCCTATTCCACTGGTCTATCACGATAACAGGCCTTTACTAAACCACTGCCTATTCGAACGGTCACAATAACAGGCCTTCACTAAACCACTGCCTATTCCAACGGTCTATCACTGTAACAGGCCTTTACTAAACCACTGCCTATTCTAATGGTCTATAACCGTAACAGGCCTTTACTAAACCACTGCCTATTCTAATGGTCTGTCACTGTAACAGGCCTTTACTAAACCACTGCCTATTCTAATAGTCTGTCACTGTAAAAGGCCTTTACTAAACCACCGCCTATTCTAATGGTCTATCACTGTAACAGGCCTTTACTAAACCATAGCTTATTCTTACTGTAATAGTTTTACTAAACCACAGCGCATTCTAGCCGTGTTACTGTAACAGACCTTTTTTTAACCACAGCTGATTCAAACTGTCGGTCATTTTAACAGATCGTGACTAAACCACATTTGGGAATATATAAGAGCGGTAGGTGGTATAGATAAAGGATGAGGGCTGTCAGTGTGACATTGGATGATCCTAAAAGATTCATATAGGGGAGATCAGCAGGTATAACAGGCATTATATGTGTGAGGCTATGTGGCGGTGTTAATACCTGCTCTTGCACATCTTCAAACTCGGAGCTCAGTAGTTCTATGAAGATAGGCACAGCTCCTGCCTGTATCACAATTCGGGTTTGCAGAGAGTTTCCAGAGGCGATGTTCGTTAACACCCACGCTGCCTCAAACTGTAGAGAGGGGGCACATGTTTCATTAGTACATTATTAAGATGATCATTTAAAACAAAGTGCTGGTAAACATGAGTCACAGTCTGTTCCTAGAGAGTTACCCAGCACGGTTCTACTAAACCCATCACACAACCTGGTTTCATTCTGCGACCAGTAATGACATGGGTTAGTCAGGCAAGGATGTGCGTGGCAGGTGTTAAGCGGCAGACAAATAAATCAATTTCACAGAGCGAACCCTCCAATAACTGTGTTGTAGAATTATAGAATTCTTGAAATTATCTAAGCTAATGCTTTGTCAGGAAGAAATGTGCTGAATAATAAAATGTGTATTTACTAAAAGAACCTTGAAGCTAACAATACTAACTACTCAAAACGGCTGCCAAAGCACCCCCCCCCCCATCGAGTGAACACCTCGTGCTAATAAGATGGCGCCTACATCTTGTGTCCACTCCCGTGTCAAGGATGACATCACCTCTTGATAGGAGGGTATCTAACTAACCACTTAACACCTGGACCAATCAATAGTGTCTATTTGCTGTTATCTTGAATTCTTCAGTGATGTAATAATGCCTTTATACGGGTCTGCGCACCCATTTTCTGTCAGAAGCCATTAAACTTCTCCGGAGTTCTTTCATTAACCTGAACTTTGTGTCTCAGTGTGAATTTACTTCTGCGTGCACGCAACTTTATTATCTTTAATTTGGACAGGAACAGATAGTCATTCAAACTAATTGGTTTGCAGTAAATTATCTACAACAACTGTGGGTGTTAAAATGCAGATTAGCTGCCACCTTTCCACGGCTCTGATTATCCTGTTAGACGAACACTCACGTCTCACTAATTTCAATCCAAGCTTAAAAAGTTACAGGGCGACATAAATTCCATTTATATCTGGCTATGCATAAATTTACTGTTTAAAAAAGTAAACCACAAACTATACAATACAAACTTAATTATATCTGGCTGCCAATGTATATCTGAGTGGATGTGTCAATTGAAAGGGCTGCCATGTCATCCTGGACAGGTAAGGGTGTTTCATTATCCCTCATTAGGAACATGAACAGAGGGCAGAGCAAGCTGATGAGAGCTACTCTTTCCTTCTCCCCGTAGTTATGGTGCTTTGAGTGTTCCTTTAATCATCCAATTCCTCCTCATTGTGCTATACAGACACGGACATCAGAGTTCTCCACATTTTGGAAGTGAAAACACAGAGAAAGGTTAATACTCCTGCCTTTTTAAAATAATTTGCAGTTTACCTGCAGAGTACAGTTCTCTTTTCTCTTCAAAAACTCCACAAATCTGGCCACCACCCCTGGAGTTCCGATTACTTCATCAATGGGAGGATTAGGTTCTGGGGGAAAAAAATAAAATAAAAAGGTAATTTATTAACCTTTTCATTACGCGCTTATGGCCACACTGGGATCCTGTCTTCTGGCACCAATCTATGTGTAATCAATAACCAGAAAGGGCAAAATCTTATTAAACGGACACAGCGCAACAGACACTTTGTGGTTAAACTACCATCTCCTTAGAACACAAACAGCAAGGACTATTATTAATACCGAAACATAAAAATCACACAAACAGGGCTGCAAGTTTAATCACTGTGTGGAGAGGCTGCAGTAATTTATAGTGAACATTATATTATAGTCTTATGTTCTTTAAACGGGCCATCATTGTCAATCATTACATAGGATTCCGTGGAAGGTCTGCTTTCCCTGATATGATCAAGGTCATTTTTATCACAATGGAAAAAAAGGAAGCAGTTTATGGCCCAAGCAATCCAGGGGACCAGTATCAACTAACCTTCCTGCCCAACATTACATCTTGTAATCCCGTTACCATCAGATGCCAATCTGAGAACACAGCGGTAAGCAGTGCAGACATCACGCTCAGGAGTACTGTGTGCTGGAGTGAGCTGAACAGCATTTCCTCAACGGTCAGTCTACATCTATCCATAGATCTCTGCTTCTGAGTCTCCATCCATTTCTCTCACTTTACTCATAGTGTAGTTATATTTACATTAGATATGGACGTAAACTCAACCGCACCTAGTTTGAATGGCCCGGTTTCCCCACCTTAACCCACAGTTAGGGTAATATTCATCAACCTACCTTGGGCTTCTAGTCTTACTGACATTCTGCGCACCATAACCACTTAATTTCAATTAAGTGGTTATGGTGCCTGGAATCCCCTAGCTCCATCTTACCTTTCAGTGTTAAACCATTAACGTTCTCAATCTATTACTGGCTGCCCATCAATGCGGCCCCTTCGCTGCGCGAATTAATGCTTCTGTACGATCCCGAACACAGGAGGAGAAGCAGCAGGCCGGCGCCTGAGGACAGTTTGCAGTGTTAAACCATTTCAAAATGGTACAATGGTGCCAGAGGACTCCAGACACCATAAATACTGAATTGGTTATGGCTTATGGAGTGTTCCTTTAATATCTTTAATATTCAGCCTTAGGTGATGGCTTTGTTGAAATATTTTGCTTCCATAGTTATGAAAAACTGTATCGACTACAAGTTCCTATAAATTGTGTTTATTGTAACCTATGAATGCATGATTTCTTACTTCTGAACCCCAATAACAAAACACACTGTACATCAAATACAATCTGAACGCAAGAAAGGGAAATTCTATAAAATATAAATAAATAAAATAAACCACAGAAGAAAAAACAACAACTTTTTTTTGTCTAGTAAACCCCAGGAACATAAACTAAAACTATTAAAATATAGACCATGTTCGCCCCCCTGGACAGACAGAAAGACGTGATTTAACATAGCGTTTAGCGGGATTTACCTTTTGAAAGGAGTTTTCTGAATTTCTGGGTGGCTGCGAGCTGCTGTTCAGGGTTATTGGAGAAGATCATGTCAATCATGTCAGCTGTGATCACCCCACTCTGAGCGAGGAAAAACAACAGACGATGAACAAGTTAATATTTGCGCGGCTCCTGCACACGGCTTCAGCTCATTCAATGTGTTAACCAGGAAGTATAGGATTTAATTCACAACACAAGACATACAAGCTTTACCAGGGTATCACAGGTTCACTCCATCACAATGTATCTACAATGACAGTAGGGTTCAAGATTTAAAGGACCACAGTCACCTCAGCCTCAGCTGGGCTTAGCTCAGAGCTGAGAACTTCCAGCTAGAGAGAAGGCAGGGAGCAGCAGCATTCAGGGGACCCCGGTAAGAAGTCGAACTGTTACCAAACTACTGGCACCATAACTAATGCAGTGTGCTGTTAAGAAGATGTTTTGACTGTTTACTAAACCCAGATTAGCCGCTAGGGGATATGTTACAGCAAAGAGAAAATGGACATTAAGCAACCATTCTGCAATAAAATTATTTTAAAGTGACTCTTCTTAAAAGCGACACTAAAGTCATACAGATCACTTCATCGGAATGAAATGGTCTGGATGCAGTGGCCCCGACATTTTAACCCTGCAATGTAAAACACCTCTAGAGGATGTCTTCCTGACAGTAAAACACAGTCACGTGACATGGTATCCAAAAGGAATACAATGCTTTCCTGTGGGGGTAGCTTGGATGCATGCACACATGCACATTAGATCGCCAATTCTCCTGTACGAGTAGCACTGGATTGACCATCACCTGAAGACACCATGTCCCCTCAATGACATCACTGAAGTGAAGAGGTGAGCTTTATTTTATTCATTTTTATGGGAAAGGAGGGGGGTACCTGAACCAGAGACAGGAGCTCTTAATTGTTAGGGAAAAAAGTTTGTATTCCTATTGCTATAGTGTTCCTTTAATGTTTACTTAGCATTTTACTTACAGAAGCCATCTCCATGTTGTTAATCTGTGCTTCATGGCAGTTTCCGTCGGCCATGCCTTCTTCTTCAGCTCCTTCTTCTGCGCTGGCGACATTTCTGCGCTTGAACAGCTGATGTGGAGGACATACAAAATGTGAGCAAAACATTAAAAAGAAAATACTTACAAGTTTACCATGTGTTTTCCAAACAGTCATGAAAATGTGTTATAGAACCATGCATGGAGCACTATGACCCACCTGCTCTTCTCTTTTCTGTTTGCGCAGCTGAAGCCCCTCCTCCTCCCTTCGCCGTCGCATCTCGTCAGTATTCAAGGAGTTATTCTTGTAGCTCTTCAGTCGAGAGCTTTCTTTTCCTGAACTCGTCATGATTTCTGTAGAGGCAAACAAGTGTTTAAACAAGCAGCTCAAAACACATGCAATGTCTGCCCAAACAAATATATAAAAACAGTCACCAGCTTTGACTTTCTTGTTCAGTTTTGTGTTGTGTCATGTTCTCATGCATAAAGCTGTTACTTCACCATGCAAACATTGCACTTTTTATCAGAAAGAAAAAAAAATGAAGTTGGAAGAAATGTCTGTTGGAAATGAAAGGCACATTTTTTTTTTCTCATATTGAGTAACCCTGTGTTATATTTTGCTCTGATCTTGAATGAACTAAAAAGATATTAAACAATATAAGTTCTTCTAGCTATCAGGATTGCTGGCCTTTCACCGGAGTTCTAGAGAGGTGAGGAAATGGTCTTCATATTCATGTGCATATTGACTGGGCCATGCAAAACCACAAACCACGCCACTTAACCAGTATGAAAGATATCAGCTAGATAGTCACAGAAAGGAGTCCATGACACTCGGTCTGCTTACTCCAATAGGAACACATGCTCCCTCATTCAGAACTACATTTTTTTTTTTTATTAAAAAAAAATAAAAATAAACACACACATTTGAGTAGAAATGAGCTAGCTTTGGGTAATGCTTTTCAAAGATGAACTGCACTGTCCTTCTGGGTTACTTACTGACAGATGCAGAATGGGGCTACATTTTACTTGGATATCTGGGGCACCCTACTCCGTGTTTATGAAATAAAAAGTTATAGGTGTTTTTTAAAGTTGTATTCAATGGTGTGAGTTCCCTTTAAATGAGAACGGTGTTTTCCCAGGATTTAAACATTTGTTTTTATATTCTGATTTAAATGTTAATTAATCGCTACCTTTGACAAACACGTATTTGTGAAGTGCGAACAATAAAATAGAAAAGTGAAAGTCATTGTTATAAGCTCCACCCTTTACACCTGGCAGTCAGTATAGAGAGAGCCCCCTCCATCTTAGCTCCCTGTCAATCATTGTTATAAGCTCCGCCCTTTACACCTGGCAGTCAGTATAGAGAGAGCCCCCTCCATCTTAGCTCCCTGTCAATCATTGTTATAAGCTCCGCCCTTTACACCTGGCAGTCAGTATAGAGAGCCACCTCCATCTTAGCTCTCTGTCAATCATTGTTATAAGCTCCGCCCATTACACCTGGCAATCAGTATAGAGAGAGCCGCCTCCATCTTAGCTCCCTGTCAATCAATCATTGTTATGAGCCCTGTCCTTTCAAACGAGGAGATATTAAAAAGGGTTTCTATGTCTGCTCCTAAATTGCAGTGATCTCCCTGGCTGTGCCTGCACTGAACTGGAATATAGATAAAAAATGAAGTTGTAACAAATTATAACAAAGTGATTTCAATGATGTAAATGCCAGAGATATGACACTTCCCGTTTAATCAGCATTAAGTTGTGCTGGTGTCTGAGGTATCCGTGACTGATTAATTTCCTCAAAGGTGGAAAGGAGTTAATCAGTAACAGTCACTGTGAGATACAATTCCTAGACAGAAACACTGCTAGACAGCCAAGTGCTAATTACACCCCGGCTTTCTATAGCTTGTTTACACAACACTCTCTGTTGGCAGTATAGTTTAAAACGAATTTATTTAAAGACAATTGCTGGTGACAGGGCCATATTAATCTGCTGAGCTTAAATAGTTTCTCATCTTTAAAACCGAATACCTCAGTAATAATTATAGATTAAAACACATTAATCAGAGGTTGGAAGAGATATGATAAATACATTTGCTGGAGACAATGTGTTAATACTGACATAACCCCCTTTACTGGGCAAGTGACTAACTCCAAGGACTCATTACTCAGCCACAATGAAAGCTCTGGAGATCACAGGGCATGAGGGAGGGATCTATATATTTCTAGCTATATATTGACAATAAACGCTCGCTGTTCAATGCATCATTAACCATCAATCACAGTGTCAGGGAGGTAAGTGGGCACTCACAGGAATGGCTGGACTATGCACCTAGCCATTGCCATGTCACTACTCCAATAGGGCCCGTCCATAGCTTCACTTAATGTCAACAACATACAATGTCTATTAGTAAGCTTCGTAAAATATGGTAAGGAGCCGGGTGTGTAACTTTGAGCTAAACCATCAGCAATGCACACACTTTCACTTGGGCTGACCAACGCACACGCTGCAAATCACACTGCACAATCAAAGCACATGTCACTGGATGGTCTGACAAACCAGGAATCAATCCAACTACACAATATAATGTACCGGGAATCAGTACAGCATCCAACTACACAGTATAATGTACCGGGAATCCGTACAGCATCCAACTACACAATAAAATGTACCGGGAATCAGTACAGCATCCAACTACACAATATAATGTACCGGGAATCAGTACAGCATCCAACTACACAGTATAATGTACCGGGAATCAGTACAGCATCCAACTACACAGTATAATGTACCGGGAATCCGTACAGCATCCAACTACACAGTATAATGTACCGGGAATCAGTACAGCATCCAACTAAACAGTATAATGTACCGGGAATCAGTATAATGTACCGGGAATCAGTATAATGTACCGGGAATCAGTATAATGTACCTGGAATCAGTACAGTATCCAACTACACAATATAACGTACCGGGAATCAGTACAGCATCCAACTACACAATATAACGTACCGGGAATCAGTACAGCATCCAACTACACAATATAATGTACCGGGAATCAGTACAGCATCCAACTACACAGTATAATGTACCGGGAATCAGTACAGCATCCAACTACACAATATAATGTACCGGGAATCCGTACAGCATCCAACTACACAATATAATGTACCCGGAATCAGTACAGCATCCAACTACACAATATAATGTACCGGGAACCAGTATAGCATCCAACTACACAGTATAATGTACCGGGAATCAGTACAGCATCCAACTACACAGTATAATGTACCGGGAATCCGTACAGCATACAACTACACAATATAATGTACCGGGAATCAGTACAACATCCAACTACACAATATAATGTACCGGGAATCAGTACAACATCCAACTACACAATATAATGTACCGGGAATCAGTACAGCATCCAACTACACAGTATAATGTACCGGGAATCAGTACAGCATCCAACTACACAATATAATGTACCGGGAACCAGTACAGCATCCAACTACACAGTATAATGTACCGGGAATCCGTACAGCATACAACTACACAATATAATGTACCGGGAATCAGTACAACATCCAACTACACAATATAATGTACCGGGAATCAGTACAACATCCAACTACACAATATAATGTACCGGGAATCAGTACAGCATCCAACTACACAGTATAATGTACCGGGAATCAGTATAATACACAGTATAATGTACCGGGAATCAGTACAGCATCCAACTACACAGTATAATGTACCGGGAATCAGTACAGCATCCAACTACACAATATAATGTACCGGGAATCAGTACAGCATCCAACTACACAATATAATGTACCGGGAATCAGTACAGCATCCAACTACACAATATAATGTACCGGGAATCAGTACAGCATCCAACTACACAATATAATGAACCGGGAATCAGTACAGCATCCAACTACACAGTATAATGTACCGGGAATCAGTACAACATCCAACTACACAATATAATGTACCGGGAATCAGTACAACATCCAACTACACAGTATAATGTACCGGGAATCCGTACAGCATCCAGCTACACAATATAATGTACCGGGAATCCGTACAGCATCCAGCTACACAGTATAATGTACCGGAATCAGTATAACATCCAACTACACAATATAATGTACCGGGAATCAGTACAGCATCCAACTACACAATATAATGTACCGGGAATCAGTACAACATCCAACTACACAATATAATGTACCGGGAATCAGTACAGCATCCAACTACACAGTATAATGTACCGGGAATCAGTACAGCATCCAACTACACAATGTATTCTAACACATGACAATATACAGCATTACGCAATGTAATCTAACACATGACAATATACAGCATCGCACTGTGTCATCTAAAGTCAGGAATAGGTAGCGAATCATACAAGGAGATGGAATGAATAATGATCACATGCACCATCATAGAACTATAGGGGACATTAGAAATGTATCACTTGGTATGATCGAGTGTCAGATATGAGTACATTTGCAATATGATCTATTCGCAATGTAAACAGGAACAGTGTCAGTAACTGAACATAATTACTATGCCCCAACATGCAAAGTGCTGACTAAAGGAGAACTAACCCCCCCATGTGAAGAACCACTTCAGAAAGGCCAAGCCAGTTAGGCCCCTTCTGAGAAGGTGAGTCACACTCTACAGATACTGAGTAATGCACAGGGACTGTGCACTAATAGCAGTGACTTACAGAAAGGCAATGAGGAAAGCTATAAGATCATAGGTCTGTCAAAGCATCCCATGTAAAGACACATACTGGGCACCACCAACAGTTCTCATTGAATTGGTTATGGTGCCTGCAGGCTCCTTGCATTGTTCTACCATCAACTGTTAGTAATGATTTAGCATCTCCAGCCATCTCTCTGTTGCTGTACCAACGGAAGGGGAATCCAGTTCGTACCAATGGCTGGTATGAGTTGGTATGGCTAATACAGAATTGCGCTGTAGCCATTCCTCCAGAAGGGGACGGTGTCACAGATGGCTGGGCACAATCATTCAGCATTGAAGTGTTTGAAAAATGGTTTTACACTGGAACATGGGACCACTACAGACAATGAAATAAAGTGGTTATGGTGTCTAGAGTACCCCGTTAGATTACACAACCTATAATTACCTATTAGTTATTATTAGTTAACTAGGGATATATAATTATTAATGTAGAGTTAGAAAACTATCATTTATCTGTGAGCTCCCATTAAAACAAACATACAAACTATACCGAGTCATATTCCGTACACATCAAGGGGCATTCCAGATAGATTGAAAATTTATAGCAATCTTTTCACTTGCTAGGGTAGCACAGACTACAGATACGGGATTAAAGAAATGGTTTCTCAAGACAGTTTAACCCCTTAAGGACATGACGTGACATGTCATGATTCCCTTTTATTCCATAAGTTTGGTCCTTAAGGGGTTAATGGGAGAATAATGATCATCACAGTTGCCGCGTGGCATAAAGCAAACAAAGAATAAATAAACAGCCTGCAATATTACACTGGAGCTGAATGCAGAATTGCTTCGACCAAACTGAATGCCCTTCCAAAGCTCCTCTACTTGCTACATATTATTATTACCACCATGTATATATCGCCAACAGATTCCGTAGCGCTTCACAATATTATAAAAGGAGGGGGGTTTAACAATAAACGGGACACCTAGCTCTTACCACTGGTTTGCTGAAATTTTAAATGTATTTAATGGAGTTTTTATTTTTAGCTTTAGGCCTGTGGCTTTCATCTTTTTCTTTCTTTCTTTCGACAGTGACCCAAATTATGTTTATTGGAAGCTAAAGTTAGACTGATTTGCCATTTAGATTAATGAGCCCCTCTTAGCTTAATATATTGTTTTGGCTAAGGGAAGCATTGGGGATTACCAATCATCCTATAGTAAAAATGTACTTCATTAAGCTGCATTTTTATAGGGCAGTCCAGCATCTTCAAGCTGAGTGTAAAGATGTTGAACGTCAGTCCTGCAAAGACTGCAAGACAGCAGTCAGTCCTGCAAAGACTTACTTTGCCAGCCTGGCTGGCAAAGTAAATACTGTGTGCTCTCAGAATAGGTATAGGCAGTGTTTGAATTGCTAAGCTGCAGGAACCATCTCGGTGTCCCCAAGCCACACAATTAAGCAAAAGTGGTCCTGGTGCTTAGTGTCATTTTAGCTGTAAACCTGACTCAGACACACATTCTAAAATTGTAATATAACAAAATAAATATAACAAAAACACATTTGATTTTATAAAGTGCCGTACGGTAGATGATGCTTCAACAGTAAATTATTTATAGAACCGCTCCCCACACACAGAGCACTTTAAGCTCTAAGAAGTATTTTATGTGTGAAGACAGTGTCCTATATTTTCATATTACAAAAAGACCACAGTTCAATAGAAATTAGAACTTTCAGATTTAAAGGCCCACTATAGGCACCCAGACCACTTCAGCTTAATGAAATGGTCTGGATGCCTGGTCCAGCTAGGATTAACCCTTTCTGCTGTAAACATAGCAGTATCAGAGAAACTGCTATGTTTCACTGAGGGTTAATCCAGCCTCTAGTGGCTGTCTCATTGACAGCCGCTAGAGGTGCTTCAGTGATTTTCACAGTGAGAAGACGCCAGCGTCCATAGGAAAGCATTGAGAATGCCATGCATGCGCATTCAGCCGATTACAGGAAAGGAGGAGGAGAGTCCCCAGCGCCAAGGGAGCCCGGCGCTGGAAAAAAGGTAAGGGATTAACCCATTCCTCACCCTAGAGCCCGGCAGGAGTGGGGCCATGAGGGTGAGGGGGACCCAGGGACCCTATAGAGCCAGGAAAACAAGTATGTTTTCCTGGCACTATAGTGGTCCTTTAACCTTGTTACACACCCTTGCTGTCACAGAGAACTAGTCCTGTTACTTTCTGGTTGTTTAGCTCAGTGGATATAAACTCAAGAGGCAGCAATTGCCCAGAGTACCTACCTTGCAAAGACGTCTCATTGAGCTGCATTGGGAAGTTTGTGATTGGACAGACACAAAGTCTTGGCAGGGTTAGAAGAGGGATCACAATGGCTGCAGACAAGAGATCTGAAGCTTTTACAAGCTGTTTTTAGATACAGTGGAACTCGAACTTAATCCGCTCCCGAAGGCTGTTTGAGTCCCGAAGTGTTTGAGAACCGAATCAACATTTTCCAGAAGAATTAATGTAATGTAAAATCAATTAATCCGTTCCAGACCCCCAAAATTACAGCATTTTACATTTATGTGTATGCGTTAAAAATGCAGAGATCACTCTAATAATAAGCACCTTACATTTATTTGAGTGGTTCCTGCCTTTCAACTTGCTAAACATTTACAGTTGACCATTATTACAATTATTTATAATAATTGTCTGACTTGAAAATGAGACATGGCTCTTAGTTGTATGTTCGGGTACTGAAGATCGTTTGTGTATGGAGACATTTGGCTCTTTGTTTTATGTTCGGATACCGAGCCATTTTTTTAACTCAAAATTTTGAGTACTAAGTTCCGAGGTTCCACTGTGGTCCACTAATCCAAATAAAAAAAAAAATACATTATCAAATTTATGCATGTTTTCATTGGGGTATATCTACTAAACAGTGAGTTTATTTTATTTTTATTTGGGCAGTGAAGTGTTATTTTAATGTGTTCCACTCCATGTGGCCTGAAGAATGTGAAGAGCCTGTAACGACCAGATGGAACACACAAAAACAGCACAGGACCAAAGTTTGTGTTTAAATC